AGAGAAGTTTCACACTGTGGGTAACAGTTGGTATTTAGACCCAGGAAAATGAACTGTGGCTATGAAGGTGCTTAAAGACTAGTAATAAATTGGTGCTCACATTTCTTGATATTAAACATGGACTAATTTTTCAGTATTATTATTATCATGAGTGGGTTCATCATCATGTATTGCTGCCTACAATAAACATTAGAATTCACTATGAGGGGGCTGGAGAGATGGCTCAGTGATTAAGAGCACTGGCTGCTCTTGCAGAGGACCCAGATTTGAATTCCAGCACCTACATGGCAGCTAGCAATCATCTGTAACTCCAGCCCCATGGGATCCGACGCCCTTTTCTGGCCTCATGGGCATTTCATGACATGGGTGCACTTACATACATGCAGGCAATATACTCATACACACAAAATGTTCCTTCAAATTTAAAAAATGCTATATGAGAATCACCTGATCTGTGGGAGAAATCAGGATGTGAATTTGTTCCTGGAGTAAAAAATGATGTTCCTGTGGAACACTGTATTTATGCTCCCTCTTGATCTTGGGAACATAATAATGAAGGTGCAGTGTGGATGGTGGGTCATGAGTGACAGGACAGCATGCATCTTGTGTTAGTTCTCCTCATTTAACAACATTCTAATGTGAAATCCACATGACATGACTTCCCTCATTGCTTATGGAGATTTTTAATCAAACACAGAGGTTTGTGAATGGTAAGCAAAGACCCCACAAGTGAGATGCCCCTTGTACACACATTTATTCTTTGTTTCAATTTGTGCAATGTGTAATATTCCTCCATCTCTATTTACACATTTCTTCAACTCTTTTACATATGTCACCTATATTTGAGTGCATCATAATTTCACTTGAGTTTTTAATTCAAATTTTCTGTAACTTATTTTTATTATCTTATGCTATTTGAGCATATATTAGTATTTCATATTGCATTTTATACAAAGTAATACTGTTCATTTATTTACTTCAGAGATACCACCTTAGCTCTCCCCCTGTAATAATAGCAAATGAAGGTTTCTGGTGACATCATAAATATTAAGTTGATCTCAAAAATGTGTACGCCAACTTGCAGATGGGACAGCTTTCTGTAAGGTCCAAACAAATATAATTAGAGCATGTTAGGGTCCTTGACTCGGTGGGTCTATGACGAGCCCCCAAAATGTTAGGGTCCTTGACTCAGTGGGGCTCTTCTGGAGAACAGTGCACGAGTATGGAGATGCAAAAATCAAGCAGAGATTTATTAAACCAGCTAGCTGGGGCCGACTGTCCTTCCAAGATGCACAGGTCTGGTTAGAGTGATCGACCCTGAGGCAATTTTAGGTAAAGATTATATAGGCTCCCACAACCATTACACAAAAGCCCGCGTTTATACAGCCAATAGTTTCAAAGCAAGCATTTCACAAACCAATAACTTTAAAACAAGAAAAATGTTACAACTCCCTTCAGGTGTCTCAATCGGGGAGAGATCGTTGGTATGTGCCTGGTATGACTCTTTTCTGTAATCTTGTGTAAGTAGACATGCCTACAGACATGACACAGACCAGACAACTTGCCCCTATCTCCGGATGCCTGTGTCTCCAGCTGAGTTAATTGGTTACAAGCAGTAAATTCAAACAAGTACATTCAAGCAGTAAATTCAGACAAGCAGTAAATTTCTCTT